CCCTGTTTGATTTTTGAAACGTAGCTAATGTGACTACAAGTTAGATTGTAATAGGTTACTAATTACTTACCTACATGTCCTTATTATCTTATATATTTGGCAATAACAGCTTTCAAGGCTAGAAATTTGCGTTACATTTATAAATGAGCTGTATAGGTTCAATATCTTGAATAATATTAGGAACATATATTGTATGTTTTAACCAATTAATTTCTAATTTATATCAATATTCAATATCTGTATACAATATACAAATGTCCATTCCAGTGTAAAATATTTAAAACTAGTAGTTACTTTTTAAAAGTAGATTCAATAATATACCTTTTAATCTCATCATATATATCCTCTCTTTTTCTTTTCACAGTAGGTTCAGTTATCTACACTTTTACTTTATCATATTTCCATTCCTTCTTTTGTTTTCCAAAACATTCTGAACCTAATCCCCTCTGTTCAACTTTCTCCCAAATCGTAACAAACAATATTTTGTAACCAATCTCCCTAAACAATGACAAATATCAACAAATGACCAAAAAACAGTCCCCCAATGTCTTGGTAATATGGGCGACATGTTCTTAAAATTTCTTCCTGCACATCTCTGAACAATACTATACTACCTGCTATGACTTGAATTGACTATTTATTGAGTCTTCCAAAATGAATGATTTTAACATTTAGAGGTCTGAAGACAGGTATGTGGGTTTCATTTCCCCTATTGAGTAGCCACTTATTTTACCTTTTACCATTTCCCTTTTTTATCCTGTAAATCATGTAGACGTGTCAGATAGGAGACTTCATAGAACAGCATCAATTTTCTTGAAATGGATTGTCTCATATATCTGCAAAATGCAGACATGTTCTTTCATAAAAATATCTTTAGGAACTTTTTAAATGCTTTTCCACAAATTCTATGAGAATGGATCATGTTCTTGTCAATGTATTATAACACTTTTATTTTTATTCTGATAATACTTTTATTTTATGTACATTCTTTCCCCCAAATAAGTAAATAATAAGCAGACCCATAAGTAAATTAAAATGTAGGACAGCTTTTCACAGTGCCCATGATATAAACAGCTAAATGCACACGAAATGACTTTATCTATCCATATTTGAGAGTGGTGGGTCAGTGAGTACTGAATTATGTGCCTCGTTAATGTTATAAAAGAGTGTTGCAAGAATACAGAGGAGGGTACATTATCTATTAGGGAAGAGAGGTAATAGGGAAGGCTTCTAAGGGTAGTTGACAACTTAGCTGAGCATTCTAGAATGAGTAAGCAATTACAGAAATTCTTAAACATCCAATTAGCAAACATCATATATGCAGTTATGCCTAAGAAGCAGGATCTATGACTATTGTTTTCTTCATTTTATGTCTGAAGATAATGAATCAGACAGATGTGGGCTCGAAAAGACACATTCCGTAGCAATCATTCTCTTAATCACCAATATAACTCCTCAGAAAGAGATTATAAAAGATTCAATGTCAGTTGCATCACCACTGGTGTGCTCCCTATTACTGAATAATTTTTTGGTGTGGTCTTCAAATCCACATTAAACTTTGCAAACCAATTTAAATCTGAATTACATTTGGAAAGTTTGTTAAACGTTGATCAATGGAATTGAATACTCTGACCTAAGCCCACACACTGTAGTCATCTCATTTTTGACAAAGAAGCCAGAAATGCAAACAGGAATAAAAAATACAAAAACATCAAAAATTGGTGGTGGTCATACTAGGTGGCTGCATGTACAAGAATGCTAATAGAGCCATATCTATTACTTTATATAAAACTCAACTCCAAATGTATCAGGTACCTCAACATAAAAGTAGATACACTGAATCTGATAGAATGGAATGTTTGGGATAGTTTTGAACTCATTTCCACAAGAAAAGATTATCTGAAATGATACCATGGGCACTAAGATCAAAAATTAATAAATGGAACCTCATGAAACTGAAAATCTTCTTTAAAGCAAAGAACACCAACAGTCATATAATGTGGCTGCCCACGAAAGCGAAAATATTTTTACCATCAGACTGAAGGCTATTTTCTAAAATATGTGAATAACTAAAAGCAAAACTGGATATCAAGAAGACAAATAACCCAATTTAAAAATTCTTTACAGACCTAGAGTATTATCAAAAGAGTAAACACAAATAGCTGAGAAACCGTTAAATAAATGTTCAACATCCTTAGTAATCAGGGAAATGGGAAAAAACTGTTTTGATAGTTTATAATATTGCAGTCAGGATGGCCAATATCAATAAACAAATAACAGGTCATGCTGACAAGAATGTGAGGTAAAGGGAACACTCCTCCACAATTGGTGGGAACTAACACAGAGACCTACAACTGGAGAGTATTCAGAGAGTGAGAAGCCTAAATGAGATGACTCCATCAAAGCCCTCCCCATAGGACTCAGGAAACTTTGAGCAAAACAGAGGCTGAAAAATTATAAGATTCAGTGGGAATGGAGGACAGCAAAGAAACAAAGTCATCTGTACACATGAAGGCTGACACACACACACAAGAAATCAAAGAGACTTTGGCAGCATGCACAGACTGTGCTGTTGAAAGTTTTTTCTTTGGATATTTTCTTTTCTATTTGTTTGGTTTGTCAGATTCTGTTTTGTTATTGTTGTTGTTCCCTGTTTGTCTAATGACACAGACAAGAAAGTTGTGCATTTGGGAGTGTGGGTATGTTGGGAAGATTGAGGAGTAATTGAGGGAGAAGAAACCATGATCAGAATATATTTTCAATAAATATTAAAATTATAAAGTAGAAAAGAATGTTTGCCTATTGTCTAAAAATTCACCCAGGAAACATGTATCTTCTAAAATTTAATTACTAAGATAAAAATTTACCAATTACTTTCATATTTCCTCCTGTGAATGTAAATTTTCTTACAAGTATCTGGCTGCATATTCGAAGGTTATGCACACTCTTACTAAGCTGACACATTCTGAGATATTTCAAGAGGTTAGAAGCCATGTCAAAGTTTTGGGGGGAAATGCTGGTTTATAAATTTGTCAGTTCAACAATTTAAAGCATATATTGACAAAGTGAACTTTCTTCTTCATGCTTGGATGTTCTAGAGAAAAGATTACAGAAGAATGCCCTTCAAAGTTAATCTGCAAATTAATTTTAACTCTGCAAATGAAAAGTATCTATGAATCCTCAAAGGGATTTCTACTACTCATTAACTGCTTACAAATGCATGGTAGTTTGCCCTAGAAGATTACCTTGAAAGTGACTTAAATATATAGCTTTTAGTTCAAAGGCAGACCTTTCTTCCAGTCCTCATCAATTCTTTGGGTCACTATAGTTAAAACTGCTAAGAATTATGGAATTTATTGTTACTTCTGATGAGGTTTAAGGCACAGTCTGTATACCAGGGTCAGAGTCGATAATGCAACCATGGGGTTAAGTGTATGTAACCTCAAACTACATTTAAATAGTCCAGGTTTAGTCCTTCAGAAAGAATCTCCTCCAGAGTTCAGACTACCTTCCTTGTGCAAAGATATTGATCCAAGTACTTCAACTAAATGAAGGCCTTCCCATAATCACAGGTCTTTATTTGCTTCTTTAGCCTGTGTTCATTGGATATTGTATACCATTTTTGGGAAAAGGCTTTTCTTTTTAAATTCACACACTTAAATTATGTATTTTAAAAGTTTTGAATATACATATTCCTATTTTAAAATACTTCATTATGACATTTACTGTTCTAATACATTAAAACAACACCAAATTGGCCATAACCAAAGGTTATGCTCATGTGTCTTGTGTATTTATTGTTTTAAGAAAGGTATAATTATTAAATATGCATGTATTTTGTTTTTTATAATCTAAAACAGCATGTTAGTTTCTGTGTATAGATTAATTTTAACCATTTTTACTCTTTATTTAAATGACATAGCATAGCATGCATATTACTTTGTTCACTATCAATTTTCATCACTATGACTACTATATCACAAGCAACAAAAATACCAGATACATTAAAATAGCATATAATTGAAAGCTTATCTACTTTAAACAACAGTATCAAGAAAAAAGATAACCCACAGAATAAGGAAAATCCTAATGAATTAGAATAGAATTTACTATATATATATGTATATTATCATTAAATAAAAATTAAAAACTGCAAATTGCAAAGATACGTCTTCAAAGATGATGCACAAGAAAGTAATTATAAGAAAGCGGCAACTGTTTGGTCAATGGCTCAGTCTTCTTACTGTATTGCTCTCTCTTAATTATTAACCCATTTCTATTAAACTGTGTATCTCCATGTGGTTTTGGCTTACCAGATAATGCGTCAGCATGTTATGCTTTCATTGGCTGCATAACACTTCTCTGGGAGCTTCTCTTCCTTTTCTCTCCCCAAAATTCACCTGGTCTGGTAGCCCTACCTATACTTCCTGCCTGGCTACTCCCCAATCAGTGTTTTATTCATCAACCAATAAATACTGTATATTGTTCCATTCGACAGAAACAGGGGAACTACCTAACTGGCTGTAAGTAGCATGTTCCTATTGTATAGCTGGATTAAAAGCAGTATGGCCCTATCAAAGTAGCTTGAGCATATCATATAATTACAATATTGAGAGCAAGGGAAGAGTGTTTGTAGGGAATTAAGTCAAGGTGTCAAAAGATAAGTCCAGCATCCAAGCTTAGAGAAAATTTCCATGTAAGGTCAGCTAGAGACCAGAAAGACCTCTACCAGGGGGAGAGATTCCTTCATGTAACCAAGCTCAGAGAGAGCTGCCAGGCCATGGTAGAGTGCAACATCTGACTAACAGGGCCTCCCAAAATTACCTGAAGAAATTGGATAATCTTGGAGCTGGTAACCCAAGTCCCATGAAAATTGATATTAAATGTATTTATGCTTTTAAAATGTAAACCTATCCATAATACAGTAATACTCCTACACTTTGAAAAAATAAAAATTTAAAACTCTAAATGACTTGTAATTCTTCATTACTTCTTTGAAGGTGGAAAATTACATGCTGAGGTGCTTCAACCTTAATCTTTAAGAAGAAAAACTGCCAAGTGAATTTTCAAAACTTAGCTGATTTGATGAATATTTCTAAAAAGGAAGATCTGGGGGACAGAGATCTTTTTTATTTCATTTCATATTACATCATCTGGTAAGTCATGAAGGACAATACATTGTATTCACATTTCATATTTCAAATTTATCCAGTTTACATGTTACAGCCAATCTGTAAACTAATATGCACAAAATTTTGAAGTGATATAAAAATAACTAATGATTACTGTGCTGAATATTCACTATGCAATGATGTTTCAAGTGAGATAACAATTGAATTTTAACTGCATTTCCATTCTTGATTTACATCAGGACTTTTTGTATAGTTATTTGAATGGTTTATACTTATTTTCTTTTATCTTCGTCAGCTAATAAAATGGGGGAAAAGTAGAAAATCAAGAATGTTGATGCATGAACTCATAAACTTAATATAGATGTGATAAAAGAAAAATGGAAATATCTCAATACCCATAAATTTTTACTTCTCTCAGACTTCAGTCCACTAAATGGGTAGTGGTAACTGAAGGAAAAATGCCACATTAAAGAATTACATGAAGTGATAAAGGTGCATTGCAGTCTGTTTATTGTGGAGTCTAACTCAGTAGGACATAAACACAAAATGGCTTTTATTCATTCTTTAGTTTTACCTTCAGCCACACTTATTGAATATCCTTTTCTTGTCCTCTAATGAATTCTTGGATAGATTCCATAAGTCTCTCATCACTTCTTTTTATTAAAACCCAGTCAATTTTACAGCATCCATCTCATTTTCCACTTAACTAGCGTTTCCCTTACCTTTAAAGAAAATTTTAGGGGAGACATATCAGTGACTAAGAGAACTAACTCTTCTAATCTCCTCTTTCATATATTAATTTTTCTGGTATTTTGAGGTGGGCAGGAGGTAAAAACAAATGGACACATATATGAACATCTCTATTCTTATCAACAATGACAGTTCTATCCTATACTCTCAGCAGTGAGTGCAGTTAAGTATTTGGTGCTATTGGTTGTAGTTATTTCCATTTCTGTTTATTTTTTTGTGGTCATCAAGACTGTCTTAAGAGAGGCATCAAACGTTGGAGTGCATTGTACATCAATAGTTTTGTTTTACAGGAGCCCACTGAATATATTTATTTACATAGGTAATGACTTTTTGGGAATGTGAAAATTCTTCTTGCTGTGAATGTTTCTTCTCTACTAACCAGGGAGTCTTTTAAAGCATGTGAAAGCATTATTGATTACTAGACTGACTGAGACAACATTCTGAATCCTAAAACCAGGGACAGTAAAAAGTCCTTCAATGTTTCTGTGTAGAATAGTGATATCCCACTATCAATGCTCTCACTCCATTTCTTGGTAACTTGACATTCTTCACCCTTTCCCTACCTTCATCCATGCTTCTCTGCAGCCAGCAACCTAGCCTATTGACCTTATGTTCTCCGTGATACACAAATACAGGGAGCACATCTGGCACAGTAAGAGGTTCCCAGAACATGATTCAGGCCCAAAGTCATAGTACATTTTGATTAAATGAGGCCTTCAAACAAGCCAATTCCACTGCAGAAATTGTCTTGAATCAGATTTCTTTGTTCTCACTGCACTGGTCCTCTGAAACAAACCAGGAAGCTAGAGGCTGGAAGAATCAGGAAAAGACTTACGTACAAGTCAGCAATATCAGTGAAATCTTAAAGATGTATCTAGCCATACTTTGTCAGGGAACTTAATAACAGAGTTGTTAATGTCTTTTTTTCATATCTTTTATTTATTTTTGAAATAGAGTCTCACTGGCTGGCCTGGAAATTGTTATGTAGACCAAGCTGACCTTCAATTTACCGGACTCCTCCTGTCTCACATTTGACAGTGAGAGGTAATTAAGATCTCTTAACATTTTTAATTAGCTCTCTGGGAGTACAGCCCAGTTTTCACAATTGCACTTTAGTACATGTTCCCTTCCCCTTCCCTCTGGGAATGAATTATGAACAAATACCGGTGACTAAATATAGAAAAGATGGGACAGGTTAGTTTACATCTTTTAAATCTTTGCTTATTATACTCTTAGAACCCCATTATTCCATGGGCCCATGAAAAAATGCTAGACTAGATGTCAATCTGTTGGTTTAAGTCAGTTTTCTGCTCCTAATGGATGATCTGTTGAGGTGGAAATATCAAAGACGAACCTGAAGTTTGTGGCCTTCCTAAAATGATAAGTTGTATTGCTGCTTACTGAGATGAGACCACTAGAGAGGCAGGTTGACGAAAAATGAATGTAGTTTGGGTCAATCTGAATTTGCAATGGCATTTCAGAACCCACAAAGTGGTATTAAGGGGACAGATGGAGACATTCTGAATTTAGAAAAAAATCTGATTTGGAACTATATATATGGAAATTAACTGCATATGATAATAATTGATTCCATTGGCATTAACGGAAGGTTCAAGAGAGATGCAAAAGTAGAAGATAGGTAAATAAGACTGAGTTATAAGAAAATATAGCATTTTTTTGCTCATGTGGAATAAAATGATCCACTGTAAGATGAGTAAGGGATATCATAGAATACAACCAAGACAATAGAAGATTGTACATTACCTGATGTCCTTATCTAACTTATTGCTGGACTCAATAACTACAAGCTTGATTCTGTCTCAGATGTTGGAGGATTAATTGTCGTCCAGATGTTTACTGAAGTACATAGTTTAACTGGCTTGCTCACAGAAAAACAGGTGCCTACAAATTGTTTAAGTACATCTCCCATTCAATAAGGCAGAAAACATTATTGCTACTTTTTTTTAATTGTTGGAATACTGTAGTTGTACACTTTGTCAGCAACCTTGAGCACACTTACATTCACATTATGGCCATGGCAATTTGCATTTTCTTTTATTCAATTTAATGAACAGCTGTGGCAACATGCAGCGCTAAAGAATTGTACCATTTATGTTTAAATCAGCTAAACAGCCTGTACCAGCATCATTTGACCAGTTTATTTTAGATGTGTGGATGTATGTATACATTCTTACTTTATCTTCTATAGATTAAAGTACCATCCTAACTGGTAGGAGTTTGGTCTTCCACCATCTCATGTTATGGAATATTAGTTGAAGATATATTACATTTGTGTTACATTTGTTTATGCTGTGGAATATATGTTTAATGATGCAAATATATGTTGCATTCATTTATGTTGCTTTTGTTTAACTCTGTGAAGCTGTGTTTCTTTGTCTAGAGTACCTAATTTGTCTAATAAAAAGTAGAACAACCAATATCTAAGCAAGAGAGATATTGGTGTGGTTGTTGGCCATGAAGAATCAATAGCAGGAGGAAAATAGAAGAGTAGGACATTGGGCCAGCCACCCAGCCATGCAGCCAGCCATGGAGTAAGAAGGAAAGAGAGGTATATAGAATAGAGCAAGTTAAAAGCCCAGAGGCCAAAGCTGGATGGGATAATGTAAGTTAGGAAAAGCTGACAAACAACAAGCCAAGCAAAGGCAAAACATTCATAAATAAGAATAAGTCTGTGTGCATTTATTTGGGAGCTGGGTGCTGGGCCAAAGAGTAAAGAAAACCAACTACATTCTCATCCTATTAACCTACAGCCATACATTTTAAATTTGTTTTAATATTTTTATTTTATGTGTATTCATGTTTGTTTGGCTGGGTGTCTATGAATCATGCATGTAGTGCCCATGGAGGACTGAAGAGAGTGTTAGATCCCCTGGGACTAGAGTTAAAAATAGTTTTAAAGCACCATATGGGTGCTCAGAATTGAACCTAGATCCTCTGGAAGAGCAGTCACTGCTTTTATCTCCTCAAATATCTCTCCAGTTCAAGTTTGTTTCTGTTGTTTTTATTTCCTTGTTTTTAATTACATGCAGGTCATATTCTTGATTTGTTTAGAGAGTTAAAATTTTATGCAATAAGGAAAAAGTGGAGTGTTGAATAGACTGTTAATAAATGACAACTCACTCGTAACACTTGTGATTAATACACTTAGTTCCATTTTTCATTCTCTTCTATAATTCATGAAGACCTACTCTAGTTCCTTACATTGAATTTGATAGCACCAGTGTCAAACTGCACAACTTGTTTACTTTTACTTCTTTTATATTTTTTACTTCACTGTAATTTCTTTTAGTCCTGCTAACAACACATTCTGTAGTGGTGCCAAATACAGACTAGCTAAATACTAAATAGATAAACGTTGCAGACTCTGCCAAAACTATGTCCTTGTGTTTATTTAATCTTAGAGGTGGAATGTAACTCAGGGCCATAGCTTAAGTCTTGTTGTAACTAGAAAGACAAAAATGACAAAAATATTTTGCTTCAAGTAAGAACTTCGACAAATATTACTGCATATTCAATATTTTGCTCAATAGCATATTTAGTTGTGAATTTATATGTGAAGATACAATAGTATTTTATTTCTTAATGTGTGGATGGACATCTAGGCTGGTCACATATCTTCCAAGTTTGAAAATTAAATCAATTAACATGGCTGTCCATGTTTTTCTATGGTGTGCTGACTTAGAATTCCTTAGGTATATGCACAAGTGTGGTATGCTTGGGTCTATGGTAATTTTATTTATTTGTATTTTTGAGGAATCTGTACACTGAATTCCATAATGGATGAATGACCCACTTTTGTATTCTCAGAAGCAATCAATTAAGGTCCATCTTTCATCATATCCTTGCCAACAACTATCATTTGTTTTCTTGATGTTGGCCATTTTGGATGAGAGAAATTTAATCTAAAACAATTTTTATTTGCATTTTCCTGCTGGCTAAGGAAGACAAAGAGTTTTAAAAATATTTGGTTATTTTTTGTTCTTTTCTTCAGAGAGAGATTTATTAAGCTATTCCAGTAGCTTATTTATTGATGGAATTATTTGTTGTTTTATGTTTAATTTTGACAGGTTTTAATATGCTCAAGATTCTAACGCCTTGCCTTACATATGATTGGCAAAGAATGTAGAGGTGAAGTCCTTCTAACTTCTACTGTCTACAAAAATTTATTACATCTGTATCTTCTAGTTTCATGATAGAGGCCTTTTACCTCCTTGGTTAGATATTTTTGAAGTTGTTTTCAACATACTTCTCAACTCCCCCTGGTTTTGCAAAGTAAATATTGTTACAGAGACAGGCTATTAATTTTGTATGCTGCTACTTTGCTGGCATGATGGATTGCTTACAAGTTGACTTTCATTCATATATTCTCATAAAATTAATTTTTGTCTATTGTTCTCATGATTGAGACTGCTTTATCTTCTATGAATAATAGTTGTGGGTGAATATTCTTTGGCGCTGAATTGGTGGTCATGAACGTCCTTAGTTTATGCAGATCTTGAAATGTCCTTATTTCTCCATAATTTTCCAAAGATAGTTATATTTTATAAAGATATCATGATTTTCAGTTATTCACCTTCAAGACATAAATAAACCATCCCATGCTTTCTTTCTTTGGAAGATTACTGATGATGATTTGATGTTATTCTAATGGTGCTGCATTTATGTATGACTCAGTATTTTTCTCTTTCAACTTTTAGGATTGTTTTGATTTATATTTTTGACATTTTGACTGTGATATGTCCTTTTCTTCTCTGATATCTCTATTTGCTTTTGTAAGGATATCTTGAACTTGGTTATCCATTCCTCATTCAATTTGATTTTTTATGCTATAAATGTATAAATCTATGTATGATAGATTCTTAGGTATGATCTCTTCAATGTGTAACATACTTTTTTGCAAGCTTTGGTTATACTTCTTAATTTTTTTCTTTGTGTATATTTTATTTTTGTCTCAACTTCGTCCTCCACTCCTGAAATTCATTTTTCTGCTTGATCTTATCTGTTGATGATGCGTTCTATCATGGTTTCCATTTGTGTGTGTCATTATTTCATTACCCTTGCAGATGTCTTCTTTCATATTCATGATTTTTTTCATTCATATTGATAATTTTCTTGTCTATTTGCTTATTTTTTCCTCAATTTTATTGATTTTCAGCTGTCAGTGGGGATACAGAACTTATCCATTTGTTTTGTCCATGACTTTTCCTATTATATAGCAACTGTGCCCACATGGCCTAGGTGTATAACTAGAGGATATGGAGGCCAGGGAAGACTAGAGGGGTGCCATCTATGGGGCCATGGGAAGCAGTTACTGATTTTGGGTAAAGCTTTTAAAGTATAAATGGTTTGAGAGGAGTGCCCACATCTCTGTAAATAATCCCTCAGCTATACTCTGTAAGAGGCACAATTTATTGATGTCCCAGAGTAAATTTTGGTGTAATCATGCTTTGGCCTATTGCTGGGATGGGATCTTGGGAGGATGATAGATTCTGATTTATGCTTCCCCCAGGGAAGGAATTTTCCAACAGCTCATCTCTATGCAATTTGAGGTGAATAAATATTTTTTACAAGTGAATTTTTAAATATTACAGAATTTAATGTATTTCAATAACTTTATGAATTTGTTCTTTTGTAGGAGTCATGATTCCCTACATTTTCATATTTTCCCTGATCCTGCATTGTGATTTGAGAATCTGCTCATATGGGTCTCTCTTCTATTTTGGCGAGGGATAGGGATCCTTTTATAGAACATTTCTTCTTCAGGGCTCAGACCCAAGTACTATTCAGAGAGGAGAAAACAAACTGCAACAATTTCAAACCAACCAAAATATAGACTTATACTAAAAGAAATTAAAATGCTCTACTTGTAAAACAGAAAATACAAAAGTTCTGCAGAGTACTGTTAAATTAAAGTAAGGTATGTGGGGAAATATCAAACAAATGAGATAAAGGAAAGAAGCAGGGATGATGGAGGATGTCCTTCTGTATATATGTTTCTTTTATTCGTTAATGAATAAAACCCT